TGTGTGATCTTTTAGCCACAACAAACAGCAAACCAACATTTGTTTCGTTTGTTCTAAAGTTGACTGTTGTTCTTCTTCTCTCTTTCTTTTCCTTTTTTATGGTGATTTTAGTTCGTAACAAAAATGCACCAGGTTCATTCACTGCCTTCAACTGGACATAAATCCCTCTTTTCACGGAGGAGGTTTGTGTTTGTGACGTTGTATTAACTTGTTGACATTCCTAGACATGTGACTTTGTTTTTGATTTACTGTGTTTATTTAACAGTGAACTGATTCCAAACCAAATGGTCCAATCACGTCTTCAACCTCAGGTAACACACTCACACACACACACTCACACACACTCACACACCTGGAATCCCTGGTATGTTGCACCTCATTTTGATGGCAGCCTGAGGAGGATTTCTGACAGTTTGACTTGAACGTTTTTTAATATTGTTACTGGAGAAAAATCAAACCAAACAGAGAACACACACACGTGTCTCTCTCTGTGTGTGTGTGTTCTGTAGATGTTTTCATCTCCTGACCACTGACGCTCACACAAGCCTGGTTCTGTCGTCTCTCTCTCTTCAACACCAACACTTCAGTCACATTTACACAAATAGAATTAAAGAAGACAAAGTGTCAGAAAAAGTCGAGCTTCGTTTTAAAGCAGTGTTTTTGATGTGAACTCATTAAAACCAGTGATTTTCCACGAGTGTTAGCTGTTATGGAAGTCCCCGGCCAAAAAAGAATTCACCGATGACACGAGTCTGACTGGACCGACATGTGGTCTCAGAACCTCCGCCGTCTGTGGATGGTCCAAAAAGGAACTGCAGTGTATTTTTACTGATCTGTCATCAGGGACACGTGGTCTGTGGTCAGACTTCAGTGGAAGCACAGACCCAGGGTTACATTTAGCTTCTCCATCTGACCCTTTGACCCCCTTTTTATTGTCTGTTTCAGATCTGAGATTTAATTATAGTTCTAGTTTTTGAAACTATTCTTAAAACATGCAACGTTTGATTAGATCTGTCTGCTTGACTGTAGACAAATCTAATCAAAGGTTCAAATCCTTACTATAGTAACAACAACAACAGATAAAGAGTATTTGAACCCGCATTACACATGACACCATAGATTCATTTATTTTAGCTTCTTTTATCTCTTATTTCTTGTCCTTTTCTTTCCCTTTCTTTTTCTTAATGTTTCCTCGTGTTTGGCTCCCCCGTGTGTTCGAATAGTGTTACTGTCCAGACTTGGCTCGACTGAGAAATTTACCAGCTGCAAACTATTAACTCACACACCTGCAGGTCTCCGCTCTGATTGGCAGTCCTCATCGGTCCTCCCACATGGACCCAGGACTGCTGCGGCCCATCTGCCTTCTGGTGTGGTTGTGGGGGGGGGGGGGGGGGGGGGGGGGGGGGGGTTCTTTGGGTTTGTCTTTTGGCTCTGATTTACTTGAGGAATTATCCAGAGTTCTTCAGATTCTGTGTCTGTTCAGAGGGAGCGTGAGGTTTGGTTGTTGTTCCTGATGAACAGGACAGAAATAAATTCAAAACAACAAATATTCACAGCTCTGATGTTTGGGTCAGTGTTGCTTTTTTACTTAAAAAAAAAAAGTCTGACTTTAAAAACTAAAACTTGTAAAAACAAGTCTCAGCTTTTCTTTAGTGTTGCTTTTTTACTTAAAAAAAAAGTCTGACTTTAAAAAAATAATTTAACTACTTTACGTTTTAATCATAATCTCCATCAGATTCTTTTTTGTTTTTTCACCAAACTGAAAGAATCGTATTTTTAGTTTAGACACAGGTTCTGATCTGAGGTCAAATAATTCTACAGAGAAGGAACTCAGACTAAAATGGACGACAGAAAAACCTTTGATATTTTGTCCCCTCGTATCAACTGACAGAATGTAATAATACAATAGAATAAAGGAGACAACAGCACGCGGCGGCCTCGCAGGCCTCCGTGTGACCGTGTCACCGTGACAACAAAGATCTTTGTGTCGGGGTGAAGGATGACTGCAGACAACAGTGGAGCGGAGGGAGACACTGACACCAGCACCTGTGACAACAGCGCCACCACTGACGGCTCCTCTGTCAGGCTTTCATTCAGGACTCTCTGCCCACGGCCCATAATGCCTCTCTTCCTTTAACCGACCCTCACAGAAAAGGTTGCGTGTGCTGCTCCCCTCCTGCTCCTTCACGTCCTGTGATTTATGTTCCCCCCTCGGCTAAGAGG